GTCAGGCAAGTCAAAGCTGATCACAAACAACATCAATTCAGTCTCCCTGTGTGAGTTTTAGGACCCAATGTGGGGGATAAAATAACAGACCCACTGCTACCCAACAAGCATGTCATAATAGGCAACTAAGCGTGTTTCCTTTGAAGCCAGAGTGCATCTGACTGTGAGGCAAGGAACTAACAGTCCCCATACAGATTAATCAGATCTGTAAAACAGATGTGCATACAAAACTCAAGTTCTGGAGCAAGACTAAAGTCTAGGAGAGGATAAACCATGAACATGTTTCTGCCAGAGTTTACAGTTGGTGAACGCTAAAAAGAAAAGAATAATATGTAAACCAATAAGGGGAAATAACAGAGCTGTGATGTAAATGGACAGAATACAACTTCTTTATTATTTATTAGGAAAATGAGAAAGAAGACATACTGAAGTAAAAATTTATTTTTAAAAAAAAATGGAACACTTTATATGTTTGGTTATTTATTGTTTGTGCTTGGTATTATCAGAAAGTATCCAATATCTCTGCCAGTGTGATGCTGACCACATCACTCACCGAGTGCTGGCTGGTCTAGCCTTATATGCCCACTGTGCCTGCTGGTGTCTAAAAGGGTCCTTTACTTACTTTTATATATCCTCCAATTTTACTGAACACTGTAAAAAAAAAGTGATTCATCTTCGTCTATGAAATATCTAAAGCAATAAGAAAATAACTGTTGAACTTGAATCCAAAACTCTTTGGCTCGGTACTATGGATATCACAACCCTTTAGCCTTGATTCCATGATAGGTATCACAAATCTGGAAGAAATGTGGCTTTTCTGCCAACCCCCGGACGTGAACCTGGACCACAAGGAGTTTGTAACCTGGTTACCGCGAAGCCAGGTTTAAACAACTATCATTAAATAAATCGTAAACTTCCAGTCTCCGTTCATGTGTCATCTCCATAAGGCAAAAGTCTGAATGATAGTTTGACTTAAATAGAGAGTAAAGAAATAACTGAGAAGCAGTTTAATAGAAAATAAAAACTAATTATAGACTTCACAACGATGCATTCAAGAAAATAAATATGGTGGACAATGTGCCTTAAAGCATAGGTCAAGAGTGGTTTGTTAATTTGATGGTTGGTGTCTGGTTAGATGCCTGGCTGGATTTTGCAGCTAATGTATTCAATGGGATTGATTGACCAGTCTCTAACCAAGCCTCAGCAGTTGCCTCTTTTGACATGCATGAATGGCTAGAATGTTACTATTCTTAGATTCTTGAAAAACAAGGGGGGGGAGGGGGGGGGGCCTCTGTGGCCAAGCTGATTTCCTTGTGCTCTCAAGGTTATGGGTTTGCTTCACAGCTGTGTCGTTCAGTTCACGAGTGTAATTTTTACAGAAATCCCTGGGGATCATCACTGCAGCTATGGAGTTCATGCGATGCTCTTGGTGGGCGGCTAGTCATACAACCCAGTGCAATGAATAAAGTTGATTCTCTTGACTTTAACTTTAGTTTCCTGATAACATGTGGGTGATACTATTCATTACACAGAGAAATCATGTAAGAATCTTCAAACTTATTATTCACCCTCTTAAAATGAAGGCTGGCACATTGTGCTGTGGTTTAACCTAGGCTGCAATATCTGTTCCTGTCAACCTATTTCAGCAAACCCCAGTTAGTTGCCTTTTAGGACATGCTTGTTACAAGGGCAGTGGGCCTATTCTGTTTCCCCTGGTTCAAGCCGAAAACAGGCCAAACAGACTTGTAGCCATGAATAGAAGGAAAACAAGCAGCAGAACATATTTTCAAGACTGCTGATTCTGACCGAAAGGACAAACTTTATTTCCAAAGGGTTGCAAATTGGGCACGCAGGCTCGTCTCACATTCAGCCCTTCCAAGCACTCATCTTTATACAGAAGTTGCATTCATATATCAAGCCTATTATGTTCAGATACCAAAAATCACTGTATAGGTGTAAATAAAAAAATACAAAGGCATGGATGACAAATGCAAATCTTCAAATATGCATTCGAAAATACTCTCACACAAGCACACACACACTACACACATATATATCACCCTTACAGACACAGAGGTGCACACACTGATGATAAACATGCAACATACATAGACATACACATAATCACAGATAGAACACATACACAGACAAAAAACATGCACATTCAGAACATATACACACAGACAACACACACTAATACAACACACACAGGGGTACATACTCTCACAGACACATAGATATAATCAATAGACACAAAAACAATACATACACACAGACTCAACACAAGCATATTATTTACAAACACAGCAGAAACAACACTCACAAACACAACAATCACAGATGCAACATGCTCTCAGCCACAGCATTCACAGGCACACACACACACACACACACTCCTAGACACACGACACACTCACAGGTAAACACAGACACAATACACACAATCAACAATAAACAGACTCAACACTCACACAGCCACGATGCCCATACACTCAGACACCACACTCACACACAACACCCTCATAGACACAACACTCACTGAGTATCAGAGAGGCAACACGGCCAAGCACTCAACAGGGAAATAGCGGAGATTAGAAAGAAACCAGAATCTGAGTGCCGACTTCACAAAACAGATATTGTTTTTTTAAAAGTGAACAAAGAAGATTAGACTTAAAGTGCGCAGCAAAATTTTGTGTGTGTTCTGTTCTGGAAAAGTTTCCCAACCTGTTCCTTTGAAATGTTATTTTGTGAAGTGTAAATCATGCCCTAATATCTGTCTGTTTAAGGCGATTGTTAATCATGTATGCTCAACAGCATGAGCATGCACCGCCCTCCCTCCCCTCCCACCACAACACACATGCCATGCACAGGTAACTCACAATGTATAGGTGCTGATCGATACCCAGACACTGATTATCTTATCTGCAAGATGTCCCATAAGTTTCCATACATAGAAAAAATACAATTGTTTTGAAAACACATTTTGATATGTGGCCTCCACTGTTGAAGATCAAATACAAGCACAGCTTATGCTTGTAATAGCGCTGGTGAGATGTTTTTTTTTCCTTCCTACGTGGGGAAAACTTATGGGACACCCTCTACAACCATGCAATGTTACAGCATTAACCCCTCCTGTAAGATGAGTCTACACCTGGATTTATCTCAATATGTGTGGGCCCTTGAATTCAGCATGGTGTTCTATGTTTTGACATTAGTTCAACAAAAATCAATGTAAAGGATCCTATTCATGCTATTAACACACTGGGCTTACAGTGTTATACGTATACTTTATAGACCAACCAGCACTTGATGGGTAATATAGTCCACAAAATCAATTGTACAGATCTGCCTTGTTGGGGATTCAAATCTAAGAATATGGGGCCAGCAGGCAAGCATCTAGCAACTGGACTAATGCAACTCACTCATGTAACACCTGTCGCCCAGAGAAGCCGCAAAACTGACATTTCTGATTGGGACCAATTCCCTGTAAATGTCACTTTCCCGACTCGTCTATGTGACCTATTTTTGAGGTTAATGCTATTGGCTGTGTCTGCACCTGCACATGTTTAGGAGGTCATGATATGACTGCATTAATTACAAACAGCATTTAAGGGAGTTTTCCTCTGAGCCAAATAGCTTTTTATTTTTCTAAAGCCAAGCTGACATCAAATTTTCCTGTAGCCTCAATGATAGAGATCAGGGAGTCACAGTTTGGGTCACTCAATATATATTTTTTCAGATCCTGGGGAGTGTATTCCATTTAATGCTTCATCCTGTTCATTTTACTGATTACTCCCTTCATATATCTGTATTCATTTTTGGAAAATAAAAGTTTAAAAAAAAATTTAGAGACATTTTTAACGAATTTATTAGTGACTTGTGTAAAAACTGTTTATTTTAGGATTTTTATGGAATTCCAATGGCGTCATGACCCCTATTTTTTTTAGAGTTACTAGGGCAAAAGAACTAAAAAGTAAAAGACCAATCTGCATGCCAGTGTGGCATAGTGGAGATATGATTCGCGGCAGAAAGATAATATCTCCTATAGTTTAGTAAACAGCCTATGAACTGTCCAACACAGATGATACTAACAAAAGTTATGCTACACCAGCACGTGTTGCCCAAAGCAACAAACATATTCTTCCACTCTAAAATATAAATGCCACATTCACATCGAGAATATGAATCAAGGTAGCAGCACTCTTGTATGGTGACATCTATACCTGCAGATTTATCTGACATAAAAGGTTGTACCAAGAGCTATGCTAAAACAATCATGCTTCTTGAAGCCAAGAGGACACAAACTGCTACATGCTTTTGGTATTCACAAGATGTGGATATGCATTACTGCCCTAGCCAGTTAGCAAGGTACATCTCAGGTAAAACATCCTGTACCTACTGCTCTGTGGAAAATGGGAAGTTCTATCGGGTGCTAAGCCACTATTGTAATGTTTCTTGGAATCAGCAGAATATACAAACTCATTTACTATGGGACAGAGACAAGGGAAAAAAGCATTAGAATGTAGCTTTTTTTATTAACTACAGAAAAAGTGTTATTTACTTCTCACACACAAAAATCAATCCGGCTGAAACAAATTTCTCCCTGAGTGAGTTCTGGGGTCCCATTTTGTGGGGACAAATAACAGATGACCTTGCCTCCAAACAAGCATGTCATAAGGGGCCACTAATTAGGGGTATTTCTTTGAAACCAGACTGCATCTGCTTGAGAAGCAAGAAGCCAAGTCTGCATACACATAAGTCAGATCTGTAAAACAGGTGTGAAAGCAAAACAAGACCAAAGTTTAGAAGTGAACGATTAAGCAGTTTACAACTGGAATAAGAAGAAGAAGAAGAAGAAGAAGAAGAAGAAGAAGAAGAAGAAAAGAAGAAACAAACACAGCTAGAATCTACTCCTCCCTGTCTATCAGAATAATATTCAGGCCAGAAAGAATCATATATTGCTGGCTACAATGAGAGATATCAAGGACATGCAGACTTACATCCTGGATGATCGGCACCTCCAAGTTCTGCATGTTTGTGATGATGCACTTCTCCTCCATGGGTATCTGGGCATGCTGCACAAGCTTGTCCAGGTTCTCAGCTGTGATGCCTGCAACCAGAGAGAGAATATCCTGACTGTAGCAAACACAATCACTAATAAACTACAAACATTCTCTAACTGGTGCTTGTGCACTGAATAGGAAGGACACTAGCTGAGAAAACCTGAGAACAATAAAACTATAATGTTTTTGCATGGAACCCACAGAGGCATATAAATAAAGGCAGATCCCCCCCCCCCCCCCCCAAAAAAAAATAAAGGCTTGAGAAAGTAGTGAAAAAAAAGATTGTTAAAAAAAAGACAGGAAGGAAACAGTGTGAGATCGATGATGGCCTATGCTCCACTGGGGGATGAATGGCAGAAAAAGACAACAAGAGAGCAAAGAAATCAGTCAGGTGCTACATCGAGCAATGCAGGTAGTCAGATTTATTACAGTTATTTATCTTCAGTATTCTAGACGAGCTGAACAACTGAAGGTCTTTGGTGCCACTCTTGTCAACTCAATCAGTATCTTCTCCCTGTCTCTAACATACCTGGTTGTCACAATCATTACTGGGACTGAACTCTGTCAACTCAACCAGTATCTTCTCCCTGTCTCTAACATACCTGGTTGTCACAATCATTACTGGGACTGAACTCTTTCAATCATTACTGGGACTGAACTCTGTCAACTCAACCAGTATCTTCTCCCTGTCTCTAACATACCTGGTTGTCACAATCATTACTGGGACTGAACTCTGTCAACTCAACCAGTATCTTCTCCCTGTCTAGAACATACCTGGTTGTCACAATCATTACTGGGACTGAACTCTGTCAACTCAATCAGTATTTTCTCCCTCTGTCTCTAACACACCTGGTTGTCACAATCATTACTGGGAGTGAACTCTGTCAATGCAACCAGTATTTTCTCCCTCTGTCTCTTAACATACTCAATCTTTCTGGTTGTTACAATTATTATAAGCTTTGTTTAGCAGAGAATTTCGACATGTGAAGTCGTTAAGAAATAATACTATTTATCAGATTTGTGAATTACATAGAGAAGAAGTGAACAGACAAAGAGATGTTCCACACACACACAAATTATATCAGGTCTAATGAAGCAATGATATACAATTCAAGTCTGTTAGCCTCTTTTGTTGAAACCTACCTCACCTTCACACAGTGGAGTTGGTTCCTACCTGTAATCCAGTGGAAGGTTGGGGTATTAAACCCCAATGGAGATGGATGCGACAACAAACAAGGTAAAGGTATAATCTGGTTCTGCCAACCAGCTACTGAGTTGAGTGCATGGTGCAACACTGTGTGCTGTGTATTTCATGGGGAATGCTTACTGTCTGAGTTCCCAGAATATGTATTAAGTACCGCATATTTAGAAAATATGCCATAGAATTCGTGGTGTGCCTTATGCAGTAGTGCGTGTACCCCAGCTTTTTGTTGTTGTCGTGACTATTGCTTCCGTCAACTATTAATAAAATATATTGTGCCAACATTGTTTATGCCTTAGAGCAGTAGTTCTCAACCTATGGGTCACAACCCTTTTAGGGGTCAAGCGCGCCTTTCACAGGGGTCACGTAATACCATCGGAAAACACATATTCACTTAAGTAATGAAGTAACAACGAAAATAATTTTATGTCTGGGGGTCACCACAACATGAGGAACCATGTTAGGAAGGTTGAGAACCACTGCCTTAGAGAGATAGGACAAGCTGAGTATTTTGAGAACAGCATGTCCACATCACTGCTAAAAATGCAAGAACTGGGAGTAAAGATAGCACAGCCAAGCATGAGAGGCAAACTGGGTGTATTAGAAGTCTTGTTAACCATCACAGGACTGGCAGTATTAAAAAGAAACTGATGTATATGTTGAAAGGGGAATCTGAGCACCTACAGACATGCCCGGAGTGCCGTGAAGATAACCCAACTCATAACTATTAATACAAATTGTAGTGACAGATCGTAGGGTTGACACCTCTGGTGGCTGCCTTATGCATCTGACACGTGTGCAAGCTGTCTGTTTGACTTTACACACGGGAGAAACAAGATGAGCATCTGGTGTGATTTTCACTGACCCATGTATAATGATGTTGGAAACCCGACTGAAAGCCTGACACAAATTATTTACCAGCTTACAGACCCCCATACACCCCCCCACCCAAGCATGCCATAAAAGTCGACTAATTAGTAGTGTTTTCTTTAAAGTCAGATTACATCTGCCTGAGAGGCAAGGGAACCAACAATCTGCATACAAATAGGCCAGGCCTGTAAAACTGATGTGCATGCAAAACTAAGGTTCTGGAACAAAACTAAAGTCCAGAAGCAGATAAATAACCAGAACATTCCGTCGGAGTTTACAGCCAGTGAACGCTAAGAAGAAGAAGAAGAAGAAGAATTATGCAGAGAATTCTGATTATGTGAAGACATTCCATACAACACAAAAATATTAGTAACTTACCAGCTTTGTGAATGATGTAGAGAAGAATGATTCGTATCTTGTCATAAGCCGTGATGTTTTGGTCCAAGAGAATGGGCACAATGTTCTCATGTGATCTTTGATCTTCTCGCCGTCCACATCCGCTCCCATCGCCAGGTCCTAAAATTATGGACAACATATCCTAATAAAGTTAATACCAGCAGGCCGGGCATAGCCTGCAGACCTATACCATCATACAGTATAAAATGACCGTTTTCAAAGTCAGTGATGTAAAGGGTATATGATGCTAAATATATTTTTTTAAAGCCTGATCAGCACTCAACTCTTTCAGCCCAAGCAACTCACTGTGCGATGTCAGTATTTACTTATATACTCTAATTTCTTTGTGTTTCCAGCAGCTGTTTGTCAGTATTTGCTTATATGCTTTAATTTCTTTATGTCCCAGCCAGTTGTTTGTCATTATTTGCTTATATGCTTTAATTTCTTTATGTCCCAGCCAGTTGTTTGTCAGCATTTGCTTATATGCTCTACTTTCTTAATGTCCTAGCCAGTTGTTTGTCAGTATTTGCTTATACACTTTAATTTCTTTATGTCCCAGCCAGTTGTTTGTCAGTATTTGCTTACATGCTTTAATTTCTTTATGTCCCAGCCAGTTGTTTGTCAGTATTTGCTTACATGCTTTATGTCCCAGCCAGTTGTTTGTCAGTATTTGCTTAAAACAACATGTACCTGGGATTGAAAGAGTAAATTGGTGTTGAAGTCAACACTATGCCAGTCACCTTTACCTTCCAGGATACTTCATGGGATTTTAGCGGGCTAAGGTACATTTTGTTGGTGTGAATTTGAACTCAAGACCTTCGGGCCAGTATCCAGCCATTGCGCTTCCATGCTTCCCAATATACACCACAGTATGTTCTACAAAAAGTTAGTTGTGTTTCCTTTACAGGACAAACCTCCAGCATTTTGTGGAAATTACTAGACAATTTTCAGTTCAGTAGTTTGGCACTGCTTTCTGAACAGTTGGCTCATGATTTAGCTCTGCTTTCTGAACAGTTGGCTCATGATTTGGCACAGCTTTCTGAACCGTTAGCACATGATTTAGCACTACTTTCTGAACAGTTGGCTCATGATTTGGCACTGCTTTCTGAACAGTTGGCTCATGATTTGGCACTACTTTCTGAACAGTTGGCTTATGATTTGGCACTACTTCTGAACAGTTGGCTCATGATTTAGCACTACTTTCTGAACAGTTGGCTCATGATTTGGCACTGCTTTCTGAACAGTTGGCTCATGATTTGGCACTACTTTCTGAACAGTTGGCTCATGATTTGGCACTACTTTCTGAACAGTTGGCTCATGATTTAGCACTGCTTTCTGAACCGTTAGCACATGATTTGGCACTACTTTCTGAACCGTTAGCACACGATTTAGCACTACTTTCTGAACCGTTAGCACATGATTTGGCACTGCTTTCTGAACAGTTGGCTCATGAACCAGACATCACAGATCATGTATGCATACCAACGACAAGACGATGCTGCTTTACAAAAGCTTTAAAGAAAAGACAAGGAGAGCACACCTGTTCAACCTTGCACAGCTTATCAACATGCTTCTGGTACTGCTTCATACAATCCTCGGCCAAATGGAAGTGAGCAGAATATTTACTGAGTTCCTTCTGATACTGGGGTGCCTTCTTTAGCATCTGGCTGAGGTCTCGGACGTTGGTCTTGTCTGAGGTAGTCATCCGCTTGGATTCAGCAAACTGTTTCAGTCTCTTGGTCACTTGTCTGAGGAGGAATAGTAGTTTGGTTTCAGCACCCAGTGGAGAACAATAAAATTAGCAGGAAATTATAATTCTTTCCAAACAAAAAATCTCTTAACCACCCCCCCCCCCCACTTTTCCCTCCCATCGAGAGGCAAGGAGCCAAACGTCTGCACATGAATAATCCAGATCTGTAAAACGGATGTGCACGTAAAACTCACATTCTGGACTAAGACCAGTCCAGATGTGGATAAACAACCAGGATTTTCTGCTGAGGTTTACAGCTGGTGAAAAAAAAAAAATAAGAAGAAGAAGTTGTTATCGCAGCACACTGGAAATAACTGATTAAGAACTGATATCACAGCCCACAGGGCATGCACACAGTGTGCTCTGTCTCTCACAGCAAATCTCTTAAGATGTAGATAAGGGCTATTCAACTGGCCTAGCAAGTGGCCCGTGAATCATTGCCAGTTATTTTGTATTAATGATCTCCTTATGCTTGCTTGATATCAGGGGCTGTGGAGAGTGACTAGCAGTATTACACTATATACTAAGTCCTAGTACCAGTATTACACTATACACTAAGTCCTAGTACCAGTATTACACTATACACTAAGTCCTAGTACCAGTATTACACTATACACTAAGTTCTAGTACCAGTATTACACTATACACTAAGTTCTAGTACCAGTATTACACTATACACTAAGTTCTAGTAAGTATTACACTATTCTAGTACCAGTATTACACTATACACTAAGTTCTAGTACCAGTATTACACTATACACTAAGTTCTAGTACCAGTATTACACTATACACTAAGTTCTAGTACCAGTATTACACTATACACTAAGTTCTAGTACCAGTATTACACTATACACTAAGTTCTAGTACCAGTATTACACTATACACTAAGTTCTAGTACTATACACTAAGTTCTAGTACCAGTATTACACTATACACTAAGTTCTAGTACCAGTATTACACTATACACTAAGTTCTAGTACCAGTATTACACTATATACACTAACCAGTTCACTAGTCCTAGTACCAGTATTACACTATACACTAAGTCCTAGTACCAGTATTACACTATACACTAAGTTCTAGTACCAGTATTACACTATTCACTAAGTCCTAGTACCAGTATTACACTATACACTAAGTCCTAGTACCAGTATTACACTATACACTAAGTTCTAGTACCAGTATTACACTATACACTAAGTCCTAGTACCAGTATTACACTATACACTAAGTTCTAGTACCAGTATTACGCTATATAACACCAGTATTAACTATACACTAGTACCAGTATTACACTATACACTAAGTTCTAGTACCAGTATTACACTATACACTAAGTTCTAGTACCAGTATTACACTATACACTAAGTTCTAGTACCAGTATTACACTATACACATAAGTTCTAGTACCAGTATTACACTATATACTAAGTTATAGTACCAGTATTACACTATACACTAAGTTACACTAGTACCAGTATTACACTATATACACTAAGTTCTAGTACCAGTATTACACTATACACTAAGTTCTAGTACCAGTATTACACTATACACTAAGTTCTAGTACCAGTATTACACTATACACTAAGTTCTAGTACCAGTATTACACTATATACTATACCAGTACACTAAGTTCTAGTACCAGTATTACACTATACACTAATCTAGTACACTATTACACTATACACTAAGTTCTAGTACCAGTATTACACTATACACTAAGTTCTAGTACCAGTATTACACTATATACTAAGTTCTAGTACCAGTATTACAGTATACACTACTAGTACAGTATACACTAAGTTCTAGTACCAGTATTACACTATACACTAAGTTCTAGTACCAGTATTACCTAGTACTAAGTTCTAGTACAGTATTACACTATACACTAAGTTCTAGTACCATTACACTATATACACTATATTACACTACACTAAGTTCTAGTACCAGTATTACACTATACACTAAGTTCTAGTACCAGTATTACACTATACACTAAGTTCTAGTACCAGTATTACACTATACACTAAGTTCTAGTACCAGTATTACACTATACACTAAGTTCTAGTACCAGTATTACACTATACACTAAGTTCTAGTACCAGTATTACACTATACACTAAGTTCTAGTACCAGTATTACACTATACACTAAGTACCTAGTACCAGTATTACACTCTAGTACCACTAACACTAAGTCCTAGTACCAGTATTACACTATACACTAAGTCCTAGTACCAGTATTACACTATACACTAAGTTCTAGTACCAGTATTACACTATACACTAAGTTCTAGTACCAGTATTACACTATACACTAAGTTCTAGTACCAGTATTACACTATACACTAAGTCCTAGTACCAGTATTACACTACTATACACTAAGTTCTAGTACCAGTATTACTATACACTATACACTAAGTCCTAGTACCAGTATTACACTATACACTAAGTTCTAGTACCAGTATTACACTATACACTAAGTTCTAGTACCAGTATTACACTATACACTAAGTCCTAGTACCAGTATTACACTATACACTAAGTCCTAGTACCAGTATTACACTATACACTAAGTTCTAGTACCAGTATTACACTATACACTAAGTACCAGTATTACACTAGTACCAGTATTACACTATACACTAAGTTCTAGTACCAGTATTACACTATACACTAACTAGTAAGTACACTATACACTAGTACCAGTATTACACTATACACTAAGTTCTAGTACCAGTATTACACTATACACTAAGTCCTAGTACCAGTATTACACTATACACTAAGTTCTAGTACCAGTATTACACTATACACTAAGTTCTAGTACCAGTATTACACTATACACTAAGTCCTAGTACCAGTATTACACTATACACTAAGTTCTAGTACCAGTATTACACTATACACTACTAGTACCAGTATTACACTATACACTAAGTTCTAGTACCAGTATTACACTATACACTACTAGTACCAGTATTACACTATATACTAAGTTCTAGTACCAGTATTACACTATACACTAAGTCCTAGTACCAGTATTACACTATACACTAAGTTCTAGTACCAGTATTACACTATACACTAAGTTCTAGTACCAGTATTACACTATACACTAAGTTCTAGTACCAGTATTACACTATACACTAAAGTCTAGTACCAGTATTACACTATACACTAAGTTCTAGTACCAGTATTACACTATACACTAAGTCTAGTAGTACCAGTATTACACTATACACTAAGTTCTAGTACCAGTATTACACTATACACTAAGTTCTAGTACCAGTATTACACTATACACTAAGTTCTAGTACCAGTATTACACTATATACTAAGTTCTAGTACCAGTATTACACTATACACTAAGTTCTAGTACCAGTATTACACTATACACTAAGTTCTAGTACCAGTATTATACACACTATACACTAAGTCACTAGTACCAGTATTACACTATACACTAAGTTCTAGTACCAGTATTACACTACTATACACTAAGTCCTAGTACCAGTATTACACTATACACTAAGTTCTAGTACCAGTATTACACTATACACTAAGTTCTAGTACCAGTATTACACTATACACTAAGTTCTAGTACCCAGTATTACTACAGTATTATATACACTAAGTTCTAGTACCAGTATTACACTATATACTAAGTTCTAGTACCAGTATTACACTATACACTAAGTTCTAGTACCAGTATTACACTATACACTAAGTTCTAGTACCAGTATTACACTATACACTAAGTTCTAGTACCAGTATTACACTATACACTAAGTTCTAGTACCAGTATTACACTATACACTAAGTTCTAGTACCAGTATTACACTATACACTAAGTTCTAGTACCAGTATTACACTATACACTAAGTTCTAGTACCAGTATTACACTATACACTAAGTTCTAGTACCAGTATTACACTATACACTAAGTTCTAGTACCAGTATTACACTATACACTAAGTTCTAGTACCAGTATTACACTATACACTAAGTTCTAGTACCAGTATTACACTATACACTAAGTTCTAGTACCAGTATTACACTATACACTAAGTTCTAGTACCAGTATTACACTATACACTAAGTCCTAGTACCAGTATTACACTATACACTAAGTTCTAGTACCAGTATTACACTATACACTAAGTCCTAGTACCAGTATTACACTATACACTAAGTCCTAGTACCAGTATTACACTATACACTAAGTTCTAGTACCAGTATTACACTATACACTAAGTCCTAGTACCAGTATTACACTATACACTAAGTCCTAGTACCAGTATTACACTATACACTAAGTTCTAGTACCAGTATTACACTATACACTAAGTTCTAGTACCAGTATTACACTATACACTAAGTCCTAGTACCAGTATTACACTATACACTAAGTTCTAGTACCAGTATTACACTATACACTAAGTTCTAGTACCAGTATTACACTATACACTAAGTTCCTAGTACCAGTATTACACTATACACTAAGTTCTAGTACCAGTATTACATTACACTAACTAGTACCAGTATTACACTATACACTAAGTTCTAGTACCTAGTACCAGTATTACCACACTATACACTAAGTTCTAGTACCAGTATTACACTATACACTAAGTTCTAGTACCAGTATTACACTATACACTAAGTTCTAGTACCAGTATTACACTATACACTAAGTCCTAGTACCAGTATTACACTATACACTAAGTCCTAGTACCAGTATTACACTATACACTAAGTTCTAGTACCAGTATTACACTATACACTAAGTTCTAGTACCAGTATTATATACACTATACTACTACCAGTATTACACTATACTAGTAGTACCAGTATTACACTATACACTAAGTTCTAGTACCAGTATTACACTATACACTAAGTTCTAGTACCAGTATTACACTATACACTAAGTTCTAGTACCAGTATTACACTATACACTAAGTCCTAGTACCAGTATTACACTATATACTATTAAGTTCTAGTAGTTCCAGTACCAGTTACACTATACACTAAGTTCTAGTACCAGTATTACACTATACACTAAGTTCTAGTACCAGTATTACACTATACACTAAGTTCTAGTACCAGTATTACACTATACACTAACTAGTACCAGTATTACACTATACACTAAGTTCTAGTACCAGTATTACACTATACACTAAGTCCTCTAGTACCAGTATTACACTATACACTAAGTTCTAGTACCAGTATTACACTATACACTAAGTTCTAGTACCAGTACCACTATATTACACTATACACTAAGTTCTAGTACCAGTATTACACTATACACTAAGTTCTAGTACCAGTATTACACTATACACTAAGTTCTAGTACCAGTATTACACTATACACTAAGTCCTAGTACCAGTATTACACTATACACTAAGTCCTAGTACCAGTATTACACTATACACTAAGTCCTAGTACCACTAAGTTCTAGTACCAGTATTACACTATACACTAAGTCCTAGTACCAGTATTACACTATACACTAAGTTCTAGTACCAGTATTACACTATACACTAAGTTCTAGTACCAGTATTACACTATACACTAAGTCCTAGTACCAGTATTACACTATACACTAAGTCCTAGTACCAGTATTACACTATACACTAAGTTCTAGTACCAGTATTACACTATACACTAAGTTCTAGTACCAGTATTACACTATACACTAAGTTCTAGTACCAGTATTACACTATACACTAAGTTACTTAGTACCAGTATTACACTATACACTAAGTTCTAGTACCAGTATTACACTATACACTAAGTTCTAGTACCAGTATTACACTATACACTAAGTTCTAGTACCAGTATTACACTATACACTAAGTCCTAGTACCAGTATTACACTATACACTAAGTCCTAGTACCAGTATTACACTATACACTAAGTATTACACCTAGTACCAGTATTACACTATACACTAAGTTCTAGTACCAGTATTACACTATATACACTAACTACCAGTATTACACTATACACTAAGTTCTAGTACCAGTATTACACTATACACTAAGTACCTAGTACCAGTATTACACTATACACTAAGTCCTAGTACCAGTATTACACTATACACTAAGTTCTAGTACCAGTATTACACTATACACTAAGTTCTAGTACCAGTATTACACTATACACTAAGTTCTAGTACCAGTATTACACTATACACTAAGTTCTAGTACCAGTATTACACTATACACTAAGTTCTAGTACCAGTATTACACTATACACTAAGTTCTAGTACCAGTATTACACTATACACTAAGTCCTAGTACCAGTATTACACTATACACTAAGTCCTAGTACCAGTATTACACTATACACTAAGTTCTAGTACCAGTATTACACTATACACTAAGTCCTAGTACCAGTATTACACTATACACTAAGTTCTAGTACCAGTATTACACTATACACTAAGTTCTAGTACCAGTATTACACTATATACACAGTATTACACTATACACTAAGTCCTAGTACCAGTATTACACTATACACTAAGTTCTAGTACCAGTATTACACTATACACTAAGTTCTAGTACCAGTATTACACTATACACTAAGTTCTAGTACCAGTATTACACTATACACTAAGTTCTAGTACCAGTATTACACTATACACTAAGTCCTAGTACCAGTATTACACTATACACTAAGTTCTAGTACCAGTATTACACTATACACTAAGTTCTAGTACCAGTATTACACTATACACTAAGTTCTAGTACCAGTATTACACTATACACTAAGTTCTAGTACCAGTATTACACTATACACTAAGTTCTAGTACCAGTATTACACTATACACTAAGTTCTAGTACCAGTATTACACTATACACTAAGTTCTAGTACCAGTATTACACTATACACTAAGTCCTAGTACCAGTATTACACTATTCACTAAGTTCTAGTACCAGTATTACACTATACACTAAGTTCTAGTACCAGTATTACACTATACACTAAGTTCTAGTACCAGTATTACACTATACACTAAGTTCTAGTACCAGTATTACACTATACACTAAGTTCTAGTACCAGTATTACACTATACACTAAGTTCTAGTACCAGTATTACACTATACACTAAGTTCTAGTACCAGTATTACACTATACACTAAGTTCTAGTACCAGTATTACACTATACACTAAGTTCTAGTACCAGTATTACACTATACACTAAGTCCTAGTACCAGTATTACACTATACAGTATTACTAAGTACCACACTAGTACCAGTATTACACTATACACTAAGTTCTAGTACCAGTATTACACTATACACTAAGTTCTAGTACCAGTATTACACTATACACTAAGTTCTAGTACCAGTACTAGTACCAGTATTACACTAAGTCCTAGTACCAGTATTACACTATACACTAAGTTCTAGTACCAGTATTACACTATACACTAAGTTCTAGTACCAGTATTACACTATACACTAAGTTCTAGTACCAGTATTACACTATACACTAAGTTCTAGTACCAGTATTACACTATACACTAAGTTCTAGTACCAGTATTACACTATACACTAAGTTCTAGTACCAGTATTACACTATACACTAAGTCCTAGTACCAGTAGTACACTATACACTAAGTTCTAGTACCAGTATTACACTATACACTAAGTCCTAGTACCAGTAGTACCAGTATTACACTATACACTAAGTTCTAGTACCAGTATTACACTATATACACTAAGTTCTAGTACCAGTATTACACTATACACTAAGTTCTAGTACCAGTATTACACTATACACTAAGTTCTAGTACCAGTATTACACTATACACTAAGTTCTAGTACCAGTATTACACTATACACTAAGTTCTAGTACCAGTATTACACTATACACTAAGTTCTAGTACCAGTATTACACTATACACTAAGTCCTAGTACCAGTATTACACTATACACTAAGTTCTAGTACCAGTATTACACTATACACTAAGTTCTAGTACCAGTATTACACTATACACTAAGTCCTAGTACCAGTATTACAGTATTACACTATACACTAAGTTCTAGTACCAGTATTACACTATACACTAAGTTCTAGTACCAGTATTACACTATACACTAACTATTACACTATACACTAAGTTCTAGTACCAGTATTACACTATACACTAAGTTCTAGTACCAGTATTACACTATAGTACCACTACAAGATCCTAGTACCAGTATTACACTATACACTAAGTTCTAGTATACACTAAGTTTTCTACCTTAGCAGTACGTCACACTATACACTAAGTTCTAGTACCAGTATTACACATATACACTAAGTGGAGGTATTTCCTTCTTCACAGTCAGAGTGCATTTTCTTCCTGTAGGCCAGTATTACATTATACACTAAGACAGATAGTACCAGTATTACACTATCAAGACTAAGTCCTAGTACCAGTATTACACTATACTGGGCAACCATAGATTATGTCAAAGATGTCCTGGGGAAAAACAATTCAAGTCATTCTTCTTACCTGAGACACAAGACACCAGTTTTTATTTCCTGAAGCATGTGCTGCAGTCAGAGGAGAAGGGTCAAATAGAGAAAAAGATGCTACAACTACCATATTCTTCTTGATTTTTGTTCTGTCTCTTCTGCAAACCTGATGTATATGGAATGTATGCAATAGATCTCCAGCACGCTCTGTTTCTTCTCTTGGATGTACACTCTCACAAACTGCTGTTCACCTATCTGTTGATGTTGTCCTCCCACTTGTATCACTGTGTACCTCTTGCTATCTTGCCTTCAAACTTTCCCTCCAGTATGGTTTTTAAAAGACTGTTATGCATTCAACGAGGGCAAAATATTTCAATGGTCTCTTTACATTCAAAGTCTCTCCAGAACGCCTGTATCTCACTGTTTTTGTTTCCATGAAATACAACCTATTCTTCTGTATATCCATATTTACTGAGACTATTCCTTTTTTTAACTACCTCGTCATTTTTCAAGTTTCTGCGCCATATAGCAGGGTTGAGTATGCATAGCATTTGTCGATTCACATTTTTCATGTGTTGTTTATCTCTTTAGTTGTGAATAGTTTTTTTTGGGAGAAAAAGCTATACATTCATTGTAATGAAAAAAAAAAAAGACACTTACTTGTACACATCATTCTCAATAGGCAGGAGGTCATAGGCCATTGCCTGGAAGGTCAGTTCATGAAGCAGGGGGGAGATGGGGTCAAAGCCACGGTCAAGGATCAGCAGCATTGACCTATCTTTCTGGGGGCCCTGGAAAGGTAAGGGAGGAAATAAGGTGTCAATGTTTGCAAGTCTTGCAAATTCATTTGAGACAGAGACAGCATTTTTTAAAAGGGTGGGGGAGGAGTGATGTGACTGCAAATGTGTGCATGCCTGCTTCTCTGTTACTTGTTATCCAGATTGTCATTCTAGCACATTGGTCTAAATCACAGGTGCTCCATTCTTCAATGCAGCAGCCATTTCAGTGTCTCCTTACCATGAAGTAGACAAGTGGTAAAATGCATCTGTGGTGCTTGTACTTGCTTAGATGGAGCAAGGCGAAACTTTGTGTTAGAGCAAATTAGGTTAGCGCTGTGTAACTGTATGAAAGCTGTTGTCTGTATTAGAATTTTTTTAAGAACTGCGTGTACTGGTTTTGAATGTTTTGAGATGTCTGTGTGGAAACCTTTAAAGATCATTCTGCCTAACTGTTTGTGTGTGTGTGGGTTAAGAAAGAGAGAGACAGACAGACATATATGAAAAAGATAGACAATAAGAGAGAAAGAGAGACACAGAATGAGAGAGAGAGACAGAGAGAGAGACAGACTGAGACAGAGAGCCAGCCAGAAGAGGAGAGAGAAAAGAAAAAAGAGAGAAAGAGAGAGCTGTCAGTGCACAACAATTCTCAGTATATAATTTGTCAGTGTGATAACTGTCCGGTTTCCTGTAAAACCTGCCTGAGAGAGTCATGTGTGAGAACTGTCCTGTTTCCTGCAAAACCTGCCTGAGAGAGTCATGTGTGAGAACTGTCCTGTTTCCTGTAAAACCTGCCTGAGAGAGTCACGTGTGAGAACTGTCCCGTTTCCTGCAAAACCTGCCTGAGAGAGTCACGTGTGAGAACTGTCCCGTTTCCTGCAAAACCTGCCTGAGAGAGTCACATGTGAAATCTGTGCTGGTGTTGTTATTATTACGTCAGCATTCTGTTTGTGTGGAAAGACAGCAGACACGGGAGGAGGAAGATCCACAGAAACAGCAACCAATAAACTAACCTCTCCCATCGTGTGGTCGTCTGCTCTATATGCATCCAGCTTTTGTTGAACAAGTTGAGCAAATTCTGCATTACGATCAAAGTCACTGGGGGAAAATACATAGATTAAAACAGGGCAAAGACAACAAGAATTACTGGATCAGAAAACATATAAATTAACAAGGGGCAAAGGTAACATGCATCAATATATCAGAAAACATTTACATTAACACAGAGTAAAGACATCATAAATTAATGCTTCAGAAAACATTTATAAATTAACATGGGGCAAAGACAACATGAATTAATGTATTTGAAAAAAATTAATTAATTAACAACATAGGGCAAAGAAAACATAAATTAATGTATCAGAAAACATAAATTAACTTAAGAGCAATTGTAAAGGAAACACCTCCCCTACCCCCACAAAAGTAATTAGCTTTCCCTACACTCACACAACAGTACATACACACCATCCCTCAAACAAATTAACTTAGTGTTTTCATCAACCTCAAACTGCCTTCCCCAACAAGCAGTCAACTTGATGGTGTTTTCATTAACCTCCCATCTAGCCCTCCCCTTTCCCCACAACAACAGTAACCATCTTAACATGAATGTGTGGTTGTGCCAAACACTTACGATCTGTATCTGACGGCTGGGTATTCGCCAAGTGTGGCACACAAAGTGGCAATCTGTTCAGCACATCGCTCCAGGTTGATAGTGCGGCCAGGTTTACTTGGGTTGTAGTAGAACTGAAATGTTTCTGGCGAGTCTAGCGAATAAACCTGGCAGAACAAACAGACACCTTACAACAACTAATTTAATTATTTAACTTTTTTTTTTTTACATTGTGATGTGCCACAGAGTAACAGACCAGAGTAAAATGATAATAAATTTGGATCAGAAGACCTCGGACGCAACCACTACAATATAATATTGAGTGTATGAGATTTTTTTTTAAATGTGGCATTGGAAAGCATGGGCCAGACACCACCCAGATTCTAGAGTATTTGTTTCCTGACAGCTACGGAGTTAGACTTATGATGCAACAACAAAAAAATGGGATGAATTCAAGAGCAGTTGAGAAATAAAAGAAATGTCTAGGTAATCACTAGTATCAGCAGTTAAAAAACAAGAGAAGATGATGCTACAGAAGGCACATTCTGAGAAAAGATGAAGAGAATCACCAAGCAGGCAATGAAATGGGAAACAGTGGGATTCAGGAAATGAGGATGTCCGGAAGAAACCTTAAGGCGAATGATGATGAGAGAAGCTAAAGGTGCTGGACTGTATTCCATCCATGATACTGAAATGATTGCAGACAGAAAATAATGGAGAACTAAACTGTGATACGTGACATATAACAGGTCTGCAATGTGACACAACAAGACAATAAATGAAATAAAATACAGGTGGAGCTGTAGTAGCTAGACATCTACCTTGTGGCCTGAACTTCTTAGGTTTAAATCCATATTGAGGATTCTATAACTAACCTGAACTCCCATATCAATCCAGCCAAAAATTTGTCACAGAAAATGTCCTAGGAATTAAAGGCAACAGGCATGCTGTTGACAACATCGCCCTCCGAGCACTGACTAGTCTATTAAAACAGGTCTAAAATCATAAGCCTGATGAGTCAAATGGCACTAAAAGGTTTGTTGACTTACTTCATTTAAATTCTCAGGGTCACCAAGATGTCCTTGACAAGGAGGTTAAGGTCATCACCTTTAGCCACTTCAATGGCAGTCAGTAAGTCTCTTGAGAACTACCTTATCCATCTAATTAATAGGTTCTAATTCACCTAGGGGACTTAAGATCCAAAACAGTTTAATCAAATATTTTTTTAGTTATGGTTCTTGCACTTCACAGCTTTTTCTGGCTAGTATTTATTTCCAGTGGTCATACACATGTCAGAGATTCATCTGACCAGACAGATATGTGATTTTTCTTGCAGATGCTTCAGTTAAATGATTCTGTGTATTCTTTTTCGTATTTGAGGTATTTTGTATGCACGCACTCTACTGAGGAAGGCTGCAACATTCACTCGTTTATATTTTTGATTATGTAAAGCCAACTGGTTCTACTTTTTTTATCTAGTTTGATATCTTTTCATTACTTCACTTAACAAACAAGGTACCAATGTCTCCAGACTTAACAACCCAGTCATGACAATGCAATGTATCTAGTTTCAGTGTCTTAATTTACTAGATGTGTAACATACCTGAGATTCATATGGAAGAAAAGCTATGTTGATCTCCTTCAGAGTCTTGATGAACTTTGCACTGCTGGATTTACACAGCTCATTGAATGATTCATCAGGACATGCTTCAGTGAAAAGAAGTGTACAGTTGGAAGAAGACAAGTTACTACTTCTATATCTGACTCATACATGTTATTTTTACTGTCACAATTGTTGAATTTCAATGACTAAAAAACTTTTTATTTCAAACATCTTTTCCCCATATAGCATACACTTACAACTTAGAGATAGTGTTTCCCCTTGCACCTGAAAATACATTCACATCTTGTGTTAACAACTTTCCACACAAACCTTCTCATCAAAATATCAACTCTGCAAACTTCTTTATCATTCGTCCGAGTGACTTAAATGTGTTGTGCCTGTTTACAGCATGGCTGCTATATATGCGCCTTTCGGCCAACAATCCGTCTTCTTCCGGCATTTGTTATCCAGGTTAGCCTTCTCAGTTAGTGGGACATTATATTGCCTGATTTATGTAGTGACATCATCCCCAGAGCCACATGTTGTACCTAGAAGAACCATCTAAGGCAGCCATATGCACAAACCCTCAAAGAAAGGTAGGGGCAGAACGTGGGCACTCCCTGCCATCTAAGGAGGCTCCCATAAATGCAGAGCTGATACATGACACTCTGGTCCTAAGCTCACCCAAAGAATAGTCAAGTCATGCACATGACTGCTTTACCTTCCACTCATCACAGGCTGAACTTTTCAGAGATCTCCAAGAAGCAGTCAGCAGATTTGAGACTTCGATTACCATCACAAAATGGCCATCTCACTTGCTCTGCAAATTAGGACCTCTTTCCAACAATGGAACTTTTTGTAAGGATGCCCAGGGGCCCTTTGTGCGGCATTTATGGGAAACCTGCTAAGGCATGCCTTCCCTGTAAGGTCATTTCCTCAGTGGCAATGATAGCGCCCATTTGAAACGTTTGAGTCATACAGCAGGACCTTTGGAGAAAAAGACATTTGAATGTTACTCTTACAGTAGGACACTCGGCGGACAGACATTTGAATCAAAGTAGCCATTCTATAGGACCCTTGGTGTAAAGAAATGAGGGGGGTGATGGGGTGGTAGACCCTTACAAGCATGTCACAGAAGCAACTCGATTAGCAGTTTGCTATAAGTGGATTTGGATATGTAAGGCCAAATGGTGCACGTATTGCAGCCTATTTGAAAATCCCAACACAGTGTACCAACGGCCCATAACTAAGGGAGAACAAAGAAGAAGAGGAACTCAACAGATACACTAACACTGGTGATCAATCTGGGGAAGGACACTCTGCTTACCTTCGGTAAAGTAGACATGAGCTGCTTTATACTGCGTGTTGTTTGGGTTCTGGAAATCCGCTATCAGAGCTTTGATAGACTGTGGAAGATAAGATACAATCAACACAAAGGAACAATTCACTTATTGCTTTGGATTCTGAAGTTTTCACACACACACACAAACTGTAAAAGAATGACAAGTCAAGGACATTTATCAACCACTGGTGCTAGAACTGTTTTTGTATAGATAATCTGGCCCTAAAATGTTTGTTGTAGACAATTTGCTGCTCAAAATGTGTTACAGATAATTTGGCACTCATATTTTTTCCAGACAATCTGGCACTCTAATTTTGTAATAGATAATCTGCACTCAAATTTGTTACAATGTTTATGTTTATTCGACGAATCAACATCATGGCACACGAGTGTAACCCATAGGTTCTCTGTTTTACTTCTAACTCTAAAGGGCTAACCAATTCACTACCCCCCCCCCCCCACCCGATCATGTGCAAAGCAAACATCCACACAATGATTCATATCTACACTCTTGGAGTCAAATGTGCACACTGATATATATATATATATATATATATATATATATATATATATATATATATATATATATATATATATATATATATATATATATATATATATATATATATATATATATATACACACACACACACACACATACATAAAGACCATCACCACAACAGGTTGGCTGCAATGTTCCCTCCGCTAACTAGGGGAGTATGGCATGGCGAGACCCCCAATCTGATAGACGGTGCAACTCTGAAAGCCTCCAAAATGGTCTTTTTCTAAACTGTCTAGCATGGGAATCGATCCTGGTAAATGTTGAGGGTTGAATTGTGAAACAATTTCACTAGCCTCCAAGTCACAGAGGCAGCCACCGTGGTGTAGTGGCGAGGCTCTCACTTGAGAATCTGAAGGTCATGAGTTCAAATCCAAACAATGCCACATGTGTGGGCAATATGCCTGCAAGTTAATTCGCTACCAAAGTTTATTTACACGATACATCATACAAGTACTCCTTGCCGTATCACAGCCTGTTAGACACTCAACATCATATACTTTCAACAGATAATCCACATCTGACACTTCCAACAAACAGACAACAATAACTTACCTTGTCAACTGGTGTAATTAAGTATATAGCTTCTAACAAAGGTAGCGGTTCTCGTCTTTTGTTGATATCTTCCACCACTGAGGGGATAAAAATATCAAACCCACATTATAAATGAAAGAAAGGTCCAAATTCAAAGCCTAGAAGAAACGTGCACAGAGTAGCAAGGGTTGATGCTGTAGCACTAACAGGAACCCAAGAACCCCACACACAACCCAACACCCACTACAAATATTTGTTGTTGTTTGGGTTCATATTTGTAAAACTATGCCCGAACTTTGGCCTGACAAAAACTGCAAAATGTCAGCGCAGCACAAAGGGCACATAAAGAGGACTTAACTACAAATCTAGCTCTATGATCGCATAGACATTTTTTCAGGGAGAGTCAGTGTTTTCCCCTTTATTTCCACCCACATCCATTTAAGATTAGCACTACATCTCAGAAGATCAGCTACAAGATCAAGAGGACGGCCACGAAAATATGGATCAACAGCATTAGACTTTCTACGCCTTCAAGGCATGACGACACCAGTGGCAGCTAGAATGCACTAGATTGTAAATTATTCCTACTCATGACGCTTAATGGCAGAAGTGGTTTATGATGATAAGACTAATGTGCAGTATAAGAGACTTTCTGGTTATACTAAAAATAAGCATTCTCAACGTGTGTCCTAAGGTTATTTTCAGTTTCAACATATGCCCATGAAAGTTGGGGAACCACTAGAGATATGGAAGGAAAATTAAATGCAATCAAAAAAACAAAAGCCAAACAAATGTGACGAATTCAAGAGCAGTGAAGAAATCAGAAAAACACATCTGAGCAAGCACTAGCATCAGCAGTCAGATGCTGGATACATTCTAAGAAGAAATGAACCGGGAAAAAAAAAATCACCAAACATGTATGGCAGTGGGAAGTAAGAGAGATGGGGGAAATGAGGACATTTAAGAGAAACCCTAAATCGAGCGTTACAGAAAGATGACCAAAGGTGCTGGATTGGGTTCCGTCCATGATATCGAATGGACTGCACGGGATAGAACTGAAATGAGGAATAGATTGCGAGCCCCAGGTGACCTTCAATGGCACAACAGGACAATGAACGAATGACTATCCTGTCCAGCATGAGTCATTCTGTATATTTAGTTCTCTCCTCAAGTTCACTGTTCCTGTTCTAGCTTGCTTGGATTTTATAGCCACAGTTTTCAAGGGAGGGGCAGCCAACCTCATGCCTATCCTCCTTGTCCTAGTACAGTAGTTCTCAGCCTGTGGGTCGCCAAACTTGGGTGGGTCGAATGACCCTTTCACAAGGGTCGCCTAAGACCTTCAGAAAACACATACTGATTGAAGTTATGAAGTAGTAACGAAAATAAGGGGTCGCCACAACATGAAGAACTGTATTAAAGGGTCGTGGCATAAGGACGGTCGAGAACCACTGTCCTAGTACTAAGCTTTACTCATATTTTAAACTACAAATGTATAGAAATCAGGACAAACATAAGACCAAAAATTATAAAACAGTTAAATTAACAACAGATTAAAGAGAAATGAACAATAAAAAAACATGTCTTCATCATTCTTCTGAGTCATTTAGCTGGGTTGTGTCTGTTTACAACATAACTGTGATATCTGTACCTTTCAGCCGACTTATCTGACTTGATCAGGAATTTGTTTACCAGGTTGGTAACAATAACAAAAACACAGTTTGAACAAAGAAGAAGCTATACACTGCACATTTTATTGCCCGACAATCTTTTCAGGTGCACGCTACAATAACAGCTGAACACAATGAAGATAATAAATGAATTCTTCTAACTGAAATACAAAATCAACTACACTCCAAAGTAACTACACGTTTTACCAAGGCATAAACAATAATAACAACACAGTGTTAAAAACACAACAATAATAACATAATGTTAAAAACATAATGATGATAACAATGTTAAAAACAAGATGTTGATATCACAATATTAAAAATGCAATGATAATAACCAAATAATAAAAACAGAATGTCGATACTGAGAAGCATCACAAAGACAATCTATTAAATCAGTCATCCTTTAAAAAGACAATCAATAAAATCAGTCATCCATTACAAAGACAATCAATAAAATCAGTCATCTTGTAAAATCTCACGTGTGATTCCCTCGGACATGATCTCGTGCATCTTGCAGCAAGCAGAGATCATCCTTTTGCTGAGACTGTCCACAACCAACACCTTCCATTCTCCCGGCTTCCTCTGCTGCCGGATAATGTCATTGATGATTTCTGGTGAGACACAGCATTCAGGTGCTAGTGTTAGAAATATGCCCAGAAACACTGATGTTGTTCTGATTTTTCTGCTTTCACCTTTAGAAGGTGATTGGAACACTGTGCTGTGATTAACAGCTAGGCTGCGATATCTGCACCCTTCATTCTTTTTCTGCTTCACCGTGTGTTCACTGGTTGTAAACTCCAGCAGAAAGTTCTGGTTGTTCATCCACTTCTGGATTTTGGTCTTGATCCAGAACTAAAGTTTTAGGTGTGCATCCATTTTACTGACCTGTCTTATTTGTATGCAGGAACATGGTTCCTTGCCTCCTAGGCGGATGCACTCTGACTTTAAAGGGAATACTCCCCTAATCGGTAGTCTCCTATGACATGCTTGCAGGGAAGCAATGGGCCTATTCTTTGTTCTCCAGAACCCCTGGAACCCAAATAGGGGTGGCAATATATAACAAATGGGGCAAAAGAAATTTGTGTATAAATCGATTGATGCTATATTCATATTTTTACTGACCAATAAACCCTTGATGGATGATGTGGTCGATATCACCCCCGCCACCTTTACTTTCCAGGACACTACCTGGTTATCGTGTACGAGGCCGGATCAACAGGTAAGCAAAGTTCAATTAAAAAGAAAAAACATCATACCCGCGCGCACTCACGCACGCACTCTTACACATAAAATTATGTCTTAATGTGATATAAATATGTCCATGAAAGCCCTAGCACAAAAATTAAACTGATTCCTAAAGGTGTTTTTTTTTTTTTCAAGTCCCCTGGCTGAGTTACTGCGGCTGCGGTATTAACTCTTTGAGTCCCAGGGGGTTTAGCATCACAGGCCCAAGGGGTAGTCAAGAGAGACGTAAAAACGGTGCATCTTGCGTTCATTGGGCTTCTAGGTAGGGATCTATGAATGTAACATGCGGTCATTGGGACTCAAAGAGTTAAGGGATCACAATATGACATTTTTTTCAGTTTATAACAAAAATGTTGATTTGTTTTTCAAATTTTTCACTGCTGTAAAGTTCAACATTCATAGAATCGAATACACACACACATTTTCTCATTTGCAAGCAATTTGGCATTTAAAAATGTATAATAATGACCGCACCCCATGAATATTTGTAAGCAAATAATAATAAAATTGGCAATGTTTGTAACATAGCATCTACTGTTTCCAAATAATACACAAGGACATATTATATATCATTAAAAAAGGTCATTCTAAGTACCATTTCGATTTTTATATACAAAAGCAAAACTGAGCCCTGCCTGCTAGATTCGAAATTTAGAAAGCACAAACCATACCAATATTTTATTAGCTCTATCGTTTGGTCATATCTGATTGGTCCCTGATAGAGATTTCTTTGGCAAATAATATATTATGCATGCGAAGTACATGGGTCTTTTCCAAAATTGGGGACTTGTTTACCTTTCGCCAATGTTTTTAATTTTAATAAAAATCTTCTTAAAAGCGCATTTATTATGACCAAAAAAGGGGTTACATCTTTGGACAAATGAAGAAACATAAAAAACCTAGAGAAATTCATGTAAGAAAACTTAACTAATAACTGAATCTGAGGAAACTTTCCTACTCTAGTATTAAACTTACAGTTCTCTGTCTCACTCCCTCTCCCTCAAATAAAAGAAGGCAAAACCTATGTTGCTGATGCATTTATTTGTTAAATGTATGTGACATTCTCTATGTATATAATGCATATTTATATATATTTAGAGACAATTTCAATAAAATAAACTAGTGCATTGTCCGTAAAGTAAAATTGACATTCACAAATCAGTAATTGAATTGTTAATACCTATGTTTGTTTCTGATATTTTAAGATTCTACTTACATGTTTGTGTGTTTGTTTTTAAGATGGTAGCTGTTGTCATGGCAACCGTGATTTTTTTTTTTTTAAAGTCAAAAACTGTATTTATACACATCAATAAAAACACCCTTGTAAAATAATTTGTCTAAAATGAATTTTCTAAAATACTTTTTTTTAGTATCCTGATGCCCTTAACTCTTTGAGTCCCAGGGGGTTTAGCATCACAGGCCCATTGGGCTTCTAGATAGGAACCTATGAACGTATAATGTGTTCCTTGGGACTCAAAGAGTTAAGAGTTCAGCCTTCACACAGAAAAATAACTAAGGCATAATTAGAAAGGATGGATAGTTCCTTCATTACTTGTTGCCTTTCGTTCTTAGACCATTTAAAAAAATTATCTGCTATTCACTCTGAGGCTGGATTGAAAACTATGCCAGGGCTTTTTTTACTGGCGGCCCGCTAGCCCACATATGGCCCACGGAGGCCTCACAAGTGGCCTGCGAATCATTGCCAGTTGTATTGTATGATTGATCTTTTTTACGCTGGGGCTCCGGCCTGTGGCCGTGACGATCCACATTTTCAAAATGTTGGCCCCTGGGTAAACTTAGCTGAATAGTTCTGCTCTAGGCTACACCAGTAGCAATAAAATAATCCTGCCAATAATTTAAATATATCCCCTCGGGGACTGAAAACAAGAAACCCGTATACCCACCAGATCCTTTGAAGTTTATAATTTAGTAAAACACATGCACACGCAACCGCAGGCTGCAGTTCCTTACTATTGAACAAAAATTTCCGCCATTGTACAAACAAGAAACAAATGTGTGAGTGTAACGTGGAGTGACTACAAAAAGCGGATGTGAAGTAAACATAATATACCCATAACCCCTCAACATAAAAGGGATGCTAGACTCATATTTGTAGAGACCAAAAACTACATTCAGTAATAACCCAAACTATAAAGAACAAGTTGTTATCGAAAAAAAACATCACAGATGTGGAAAAGGGTTCGTCCCTTATTAAAATTATGCTGACAATGCAAAATAATAGATTATCACCAATAGAACGTCAGTTTATAGAAATATTAAATAATTGCAGCAACAAGTGTCCATGAATCGAAATACCGTCATAGAGTATCTTAATTCCACACAACAACCCATAAAATGGAAAACCCACAAGTTCCAGAATTCAAGTTTTTTGCCGACAGACAGGTCACAGTTAAACCTCCTGCTGTCAGTGTGTCACCATTGATGAGTACAGTACACTTTAAATATCTACACTGTCTTAATAACACCACTACATGCAAATATCTGGCAACAAGAAGAATCTACAACTCCTAACAAACCATAGGGTAAGGACATTTTATCTTTACTCAAGCAGTGATACCGGATTCAGCATCATCCGTCTGTTTTCTGGCTTCTGACTCACTAAAACAACAATCGATTGTTGAATTCTCCTACATGCAGAACGACCGTTAGCTGACAACCAAAGATAATACATTATAGACAGAGAAATTCAAATGCTGACGAAAAGAGCAAAATACATTAAGTAAATCTGAAGCTGGCAAATCAAACATTTATTCAATATGAAGGAGACAGATGAACGAGACGACGGTGAGGAAATCTTACTCTCATGAACTGCTTCTTTCAGGGCCATCTTGAATGGATAATAACAAACGAACTGTGGGATATCCGGAACCGCAAAATGGGGATGGCTACGCCCCCTTGTGATAGGGAACAAATCTCTAATATAACGACCCAATGGTGAATTTACATATATCTGGGGGGGGGGGGGGGGGCGCGTTAGCGCAGTCGATAAGAAGCTCGCTTTCAAATCCAGCTACGACTCGCTGCAGCCCAGGTCGGTATTCGAAAACGGGCGACTCCCGGGGTTTACCCAGCCTCTAGGTCATAGGAAATAAGTACAAGAGTGATTTTATTTGATTTGATTCAAGAACCGACATCACAGCACTCGGGGCATTCCCATAAGCGCTCCATCCCCATCTTCAGCAGCCAGCGAAGAGTTCCGATACTAATGGTGCCAGTAGCTTTCTGATTAAACGTCCGTCTTGCCTTTCCTCTGAGCTTTGAGCTTCTGCCAGAACCTCTCGTCACCACCAACTGCATCAATCTCACCAGACTGTGGTGATCCATCTGCTCCTCCGCATTGTACACGCTCTCCCACAAGGCACTAACCACGTCTGCCCTATCATGTGGCAGTATTCCACCAAGTTGTGCAGAGCCAGCCAGTCTGTCCGTCTGTTCATTTCCCAACACACCGGCGTTTTACTCGGTGAAAAAATCCAGACAGTACTCCTCACTCGTGTCCTCCGCAGCGAAGCATGCCACTCTGCACGAAGCATACCTGTTCTGATCTTCCTCAGCAAGTTTTTCTGAATCAGTTACAATTACAATTACAAGAGTGATACTCTGGGGTAAATGGAGGAACGTCGCTGTAGCTACAGAGTTATGTGCGAACGGCGACACAGGTGGACAAATCTAATCAGCTGTCCATAATGGTGGCAGAGCACTTATGGTTTTTAACCGTGTGCAATGACGCTGGTTCACATCTCCCGACTTTACCTTTACCTTATTATTATATCTAAATGAAGCGGTGTCTCAGATCTATCTATCTATCTATCTATCTATCTATCTATCTATCTATCTATCTATCTATCTATCTATCTATCTATCTATCTATCTATCTATCTATCTATCTATCTATCTATCTATCTATCTATCTATCTATCTATCTATCTATCTATATATCTATCTGTCTATCTGTCTATCTGTCTATCTGTCTATCTGTCTGTCTGTCTGTCTGTCTGTCTGTCTGTCTGTCTGTCTGCCTGCCTGCCTGCCTGCCTGCCTGCCCTGCCTGCTGCCTGCCTGCCTGCCTGCCTGCCTGCCTGTCTGTCTGTCTGTCTGTCTGTCTGTCTGTCTGTCTGTCTGTCTGTCTGTCTGTCTGTCTGTCTGTCTGTCTGTCTGTCTGTCTGTCTGTCTGTCTGTCTGTCTGTCTGTCTGTAGCAGTAAACCTCAAGGGCTCAGAATGCTAAAGAAGAAGCTGACTATTCTGTGCTACTTTATGTGAAGTAAAAGTTCAGCGTACATTTGACATTCGTATTTGGCCGAATAGTTGGTCTCGTTATTCGTATTCAGCCGAATAGTAAAAATCACTGTTCGGTACAGCCCTACTTTCAATCAGCATCCCCGAAGGGGAGCTTTAGGTTATAATTGTGACTAGGTTATGTCCGCCATATAAAATGGCTTAGCGCTGCAGGCCACCAAGTAGCCATGAAAAGACCCCTGCTGTGTTGATACGATCTAAGGAGGCAGACCCTAATACTGTCTCGAACGGCGATGAAGTCGTCTACCGGCGAGCCAATGGGCGACCCGGTCACTGGTGTTGTGTGTGTATACGTTATCTCAGGCTTTTATTTATTCTCCTTTGTTGTAGCTTATGTTGACTGAATGAAATAATCAACTTGATGTGCGTCAACTTCCACACTTTTGTTAGCTTATATATTTTAAAGGGTAAACAAGAATAGACCCACTGCCTACCCAAAAGCATGTCGTAAGAGTCGACTAATTGGGAGCTTTCTTCGAAGTCGGAGTGTATCTGCCTGAGAGGCAAGGAACCAGCAGTTTGCATACAAATGAGTCAGATCTGTAAAAACGGATGCACACGCAACGTTCAGTTTCTGAAACATGACTGCAGTTTAGAAGTGGACGAACAACAAGAACTTGGCCGGAGTTTACAGCCGGTGAACGCAAAGAAGAAGACAAAGGAGATATTTTAAAGTCTTCTGAAATTAACAAGGCATAATTAAAAACTGAAGGGGCTTCTTACTTTGTATTGCTTACTTTGATCAAGGCTAATTCCGGCCCTAGGCAAAGATGATGAAGACGATAACTATTATGACTGATGACGACCGATGATACCTACCATGGCTATCCTGGCGGACGACGGACATTTCTGGGACTGACTGGTCTGTGCTGAATTCCACCTATGGATGTCCAGTCACTCAAAACAGAACCACACCGTCCAGGTTTAGTATTTACAGTTCTAGAGGTGTCCAACATGTTGTCCAGCGGGTCTACAAGCTACAGTAGCAACTAGTACTGTTTAAAAAAGAGAACCGATAAAGTGTATATTTTTTACGTAAGAACAATAATTGTGTTTTGTTGACAATCGACTGTTGGCTTGCTTGGAGATGTTCATTGTTTAGAAGGAATGATTGAGAATCAGACACTTGTTGAAGCTAAATGCCTGGTCCTGGAACGTTTAATGCGTGAAACACGATGCAGTGCCAGAGACTAGTCAACCTGAGACAAAAGTTGTTTACAAATACACATTACAAACAGCCTGAGTGACGCACAACGTGAGATAAACACTCGGTAACACAAAGTGCTACCATTCTGATGAGAATCACCGGGAGTAACCGTCAGATTTTATTTAACCCCCCGACGACAGCCGGGATGGGGCTTTAGAGTAACAAAAAATTGCGTCTGAAATGGAATGATTGATGACGCCACAAAACAGCCTATTTTGAAGTGAGCAGCACTTTCTGCTTCTGAGAGGGAAAACGCGACACCTTCAACCAGCATTCCTCGAAGGAAAAAGCTTTTTTTTTTTTTTTTTTTTAGCGCCGTATGTTATGGTTTAAGATTGCTTGCCATCAGGTAGCCCTGAAAAGGATTCTTGCAGTGTTTCATGCATCCACCAGACCCAAAAACCTTCCCGACCGTAATGAAGTCGTCTACGGGGCAGCCAATAGGCTGTACGGACTTTTTCATCAGCAATAGGGGTAGAATACGTAGAATTATCAAAATGTTCTGGCCAGATACAATCTCAAACACTAAACTACTTCAAGTCACAAACCAAGAAACTTTAGACAGTATGATAACCAAGAGAAGATGGAAATGGCTTGGCCACGTTATGAGAATGAATCCTGATTTACCCGCCAAAAAAAGCTCTCACATGGACACCAAAGGGAAAGAGAAAACAGGGGCACCCAAAAACAACATGGAGACGAACGATGGAAAGTGACCTGAGTGCGGCATCTTTGACATGGAAAACTGCACTAAAGATTGCACAGGACAAGAAAGCATGGAAAGTCCTCTCTGAAGGCTTATGTGCCACTAGGCATAACGAGAACTGATGATAAATAGGGGTTTGGGGGTGTAAGCTGAGAAAGAAAGAACTCTTCCAGATTTTGATAGTTTGAAAGGCAACTTTGCAGAATCAAAGAGAGCCTTAGAGTGGTCTACAAGAGAGACTATAAACTAAAAGATATAATCGCCAGGAGCATCCCCTCCTCCCATGCAGAGCCTTCTTTTCGGTGCCACCAGATCCCCCCTCAGCAGATGCAAAGCACGTCAATTCTTTACCTAGACCCACTCACTCCCCAGGGAATATATTGGACAAAATGTATGGGAAGTTAGCAGATCGTTTCCGAGAGTATCTTAAAGGAAAAACCAGTCTTCCTCAATTCTAAAGTGTTGACCACCAGTGCGACACTGTCAGACAATCTGGTTCATATGATTCAATCACACCTCTCCCCTTGGAAAATCGCTGCGTTTGGCATTCTCGGCAATGTGATAATCAATGTTCCGCATACCTACATCTATTTCTTTTCAATTAATTAATTGCTCGTTATACATTCTCCTGCTTTCCTTTTCCCATTTTACCCCTTCTGCGTATTCCCCCCCCCCCCCCCCCCCCGCTTATATTTCGTTTGGCGATAACATTTCCTGTCCCTACCACTAACCCGTTTGTTCCCATTTCTGTATAACGTGACCTTTCAGTTTGTTGTTGGTTTATGTTGTTTCCTTTGCTGATAAATATTTTGTGGTTTTTTTTTTTTTAAATCTGAACATGTGTGTTCCTTTCCCTCAGTTCAGCTTCATAGTCAAAGTTTGTGCTGTCTTCAGTTATCTCTCGTGTACTATCAATCACTTCTGACGACAAACTAAAATCTCTCTTAGTTTTCTCCTGTCTCTCTTTCTCTTCACTTTGTTGTCATAATGCACTCTAGTTTTCCTCTTCTAATTATGCAGACAATGTGAATTGTGCCTTCTGAAATAAGTCATCAGTTCTCTTTGTGAGTTACATCCAGTTATGGCCCCTGTTGTCTTGGTGCTCTATCTATCTATCTATCTATCTATCTATCTATCTATCTATCTATCTATCTATCTATCTATCTATCTATCTATCTATCTATCTATCTATCTATCTATCTATCTATCTATCTATCTATCTATCTATCTATCTATCTATCTATCTATCTATCTATCTATCTATCTATCTATCTATCTATCTATCTATCTATCTATCTATCTATCTATCTATCTATCTATCTATCTATCTATCTATCTATCTATCTATCTATCTATCTATCTATCTATCTATCTATCTATCTATCTATCTATCTATCTATCTATCTATCTATCTATCTATCTATCTATCTATCTATCTATCTATCTATCTATCTATCTATCTATCTATCTATCTATCTATCTATCTATCTATCTATCTATCTATCTATATCTATCTATCTATCTATCTATCTATCTATCTATCTATCTATCTATCTATCTATCTATCTATCTATCTATCTATCTATCTATCTATCTATCTATCTATCTATCTATCTA